GTCCCAACACGTCGAATAGTCCCGTGCTTTTCTTGGCCTCGGCCAAACTAATGATATTACCCTCCTCTACAATGTCCCTTCTCTCCTCTCCAGTCTCTCTTATACTTCCAATCTCAACCATTCTTCTAATCTCTCCACAGACACTCTTCACTTGCTCGGCCTCACTAACTCCCTCGTCTGATACCGCAGATCTGGAGGGCAGAGCCTTGAATGCGAGAACCTTCACAACATCTTTAGGTTCCGCTATACTTTGATTTTGTAGACCTGAGATTAGGTTTGCAAACCCGGCGGCAATTGGGGCAACGACAGAGTTGGTAGTAGATGTGGATGTGGGCGTGGATGTTTTCTCTTCAAGGGACAGTTTCGAAGAAGGAAATTCCGTAGCCATAGATCTCGTATTCACACGAATAATATCGTTTGAACCAGCTTTATAAGTGATTACAAAACCCACATTCCTCTTCTCATCAGCCTGAGCTTGTGACAAAGTACTCGTGATGTATGTTCCAAACTTGATACCGGTCACCTGGTTTAAGTCCACTCTCACGAAAGATGATACTTTCTCGATATTCCAATCAAAGTGGCACATATACAATGCCGCATCTGTCAATAGGAGGACAGATTCCTCAAAAGGACTAGATTTGATCGTATTTGGTACTTGCGGAGTGAGAAATGTCCATCCTCCAATAAATTCTTCACGATCGTCAGCAACGACGAGTTTCTGGGAAACGTCGATAGCTTGTTGCCTCATTTTTTGCATCGAAACGCCAGGATCACCACTCATCATATTCGCCTCGAAATCTTCGAACACAAGATAGCTCACGTTTCCTAGCAAGAAATCAATGGCGGCTTGACTGAAGTAGTCATTCACAATACTAAAAATCAATTAGCATCTTAAGTTTTTAATTCAAAAGTTTGACGTACCCGCTGTAAAATCTGGAGATAGAAAGCCCCATATCTGTGATAGCTCCCTTGTAATCCCGCTTTCTGGTACGAGTGAAGTCTCCCTTCAATGCTGCAGTAGAGGCATATTGCTTAGAAATGGCGTCACCATTGTCGGCCCACAAAGTGTTAAACCATTGCTGGGTTTGATCGACTTGTAGAGTGATATCTAGCCCCTCATTCTTTAACTGTATTTCAAGGGCTCGCTTTGCTACTGCACTTTGAACAACATTTGTTCGATCCAGACAATCCATACAGTTCGTCCTTAAAACGCCATTCTGTTTCGATACAAGTTTCCCATCGACTTCTACAGTGTTCGAGAACGAGTCAAGCTTCTTGCCCAGTATTTCCATGAGCAGGCTAACATTCTCAAACTTCATGCCTTTGCAAATAGCATGGAAATCAAACCATTCAAATCCAATGGATTTTTTAAGCTCGCTAGCTCGGGAAACGTTAAGAAGAGTCATCAATTTCTCGTACTCTCCGCCAACTATTGCCTCGTTTCCATGTTTCTCTACCAAAGAAGCCACTTGAATGGCCCCGTAGCGATCACTTAGATTATCAAAATGCTTCTTGAAAGCATCATAATTTGTTTCGGTAGAGTGGTGAACTTGAGGCACAGGCTTAAAAGAGTAAGGTGACTGGGAGAAGAAGATGGGAATACTGCCACGTATCTGGACGAACGAATATATCTTACTCGAAGAACCCCAAACAGAATCCGATAAGATTTGCTCTGTTTCCACACCATTGGCGGTATTGCCGTCCTCATCCACACCTCGACGTAAATATCTAAGCCCGGCACGTTTGACTGACCTTCTAGATATTAATGTCAATAGATATGACTTTTCTGTACCAGCACGTGCTGTGAAAATTTGTTCATCTGAACTACTTGTTGTAATATCATTCATCTCCATGGAAGTCTTCCCAGTGTCTGAACCTACAACAGGGTTTGGTGGATTGCTATCCATCGAAAATGCACGCTGTCCTACAAAGCCCTGCATGAGAGGCAAGGCAAAAGAAGACTGGCCAGCATCAATAAATGGTAACACAAGATGTCGATTCCAGAAGAAGAGTGGATCAACTTCCTTATGCAATGGTAATTCAGAGTTTGTATTCCTCTTATTTGCCAAACTTCTTGTGATATCATGGTCGTAAGAGAAATAGTAACTCCTAGAGGCCCCAAACAATATCTGTGATGTTCGTAGTAATTTTGGCAGCATGCTCTCCGCGATGTCGCTAATATTTTCAGGAGTTTCAACCACCTCAGTGTCCTTGCCCTTATCGGGAATTGAGATATCAGTTTTCCCTTCAGCGGCTTCCGAAATTGTAGCTGATACACCTGTGGCCTTGGCATCTTGCTCTACTGTAGAATACGGCTCAGCGCTCATTCCCAGGTTCTTCTTCTGGTCCACGGCCCATCCTTTCTTCGAGAACCATTTTTGTGCAAATCTTCCATATCCCCCCTTCTTCGAGATCACATCCTCAGCCACGCTGCTCGTTCTTTTGTGTGCTTCTACTGCTGTATCGTCCTCCACTTCATCACTAACGACATCATCCTCGCTATCACTCTCGTCCAAGCCATGCTGCCCCTCAGTAGTACTCTTCAATAGCCCCGCTTTCGTACTATCAATCGAGATCTCTGCCTCGTTCTTGGAACTTAATGGGGTTAAAGCCACTTCAGTAATAACATATATAGGTTTCCCTTGTATTTGTGCCACTTGCTCTCTTTTCGTAATTGATATCAGGAAGGAGGTTTTGGAAACCGTCAAGAGACCTAGAGATGATTAGACATATACACCGCGCTCAATATCGCGAACACATACCGACAATACCAAATGCCTCGAAGCTTTTAGCAGGCGACCCCTCCACATCCCGTGAATCACTCGATACTTGCCCGATATGCTTATCTTTGTATGTGATCTTCGTTGAGGGGGCGGGGCGTTGGCCTTTTGGCGCTGTTGGTTGCAAAATCAACCCATCGATGGCGGCAAAGATAAGAAGTTTACGAGCGAGGCCAGGCATACTGGCAGTGTCTATATAATTATCATCGAGGTCATATGAGGAAGGATGTGGGTGGATCTTTAGAGAGTGGAATTAAAGTTTGGAGAATGAAGGATCAATTGGTACGTAGTTTTAGCTCTCAGGATCAACACTACCGGATTAGGGATATCTCAATTTACCATGTTAAGTACTTGATTGTTACCTAGGTAATCATTCATCACTTCAACCTTGAATTTTTGAAAAGGTTAACAGAATAACAATAAATCTGTACTTATTAAATAGTCCTGGTGGCTATTTCATTGTCGACCCTGAATCAAAACTTTGAAAGATGGTTATTGGGGTTACGAAGGTAAACGGCTCACCGGGGACAATTCTTATGGTTTCCTAACGACGAAGAGTCGACACGGAAAATTGATTAGCCAAAAGAATCATTTTTTCAATCTCCGCCAAGCCCAAGAACTATTTGTTTATCAATGTCAATGGGATCCTTATCTAGTGGTAGTGAATGTCTTTTCGAATACAATCAGTCACTTTTGAATCGCAAATAAATTCTGGGGTAATGCATATATGGCGCTAGTCTGAAATTTCTCAAGCGAAGAGAATCTCGCACCGCAGAAGATTTCTTCTCAACTGCCCAGCAAACTGATCGATAACATATAAAACTTCGTATTACGCAAAAGAAAAATAACTTTGAACATCATCTCTCATCATGGGTAAAAACGGAAAATTCGGCAAAGACTATGGAAAAGTGGTTGGTAAAGACCTTCCTGGACGACCCGGATGGAAAGGTCCAGGATTCACCAAAAAAGCCGAACCAAAACCAAGAAAGGCAAACCAAGAAGAGGAGAAAGATCTACCTAAAGAATCTCTTCTTCCTGTGAAGTTGCAACAGCTCTTGTTGAATGTTTTCAGAGACGCATACTCAGGTGTTATCGATTCTGATAATTTTCAACAGCTTTTGCAGGACGTCAAAGGAGCTTTATATGATAGAGATTTCAGTCGTGCATTCGGAAACGACGAATATCTCGATGTTTATTCTGCAAGATGGTCACCCAGCAGGTCATTATGTTATGCTTCAATTCTTTTGGACCTTCAAGAACATTTTGGAGAAATACTGCCACGTGATAAGAGCGCTCAAATGAAAGTTGACTCTGAGGCCACGACCGACGCTGCTCCATCCACAGCTCCTTCTAAGTCAACAGCACGAGTTATATCCATCGGCGGGGGCGCAGCCGAAGTTGTTGCATTCGGAGGCTTCTTAAAGCATGGATTTGAAAAATCAGACACGGGAACGACTTCACCAACCGCGGATGATGCAATGGCTTCCCTTACTTTATCTGATGCAAACGATAGCATCGAATTACTACTTGTCGATACAGCATCCTGGGCAAATGTTGTCAAAAAACTTCACACCGGTATCACAACTCCGCCACCAATATCCAAATATGCAAGCGCATCTGCTAAAGCAGCAAATTCGGCTCTTGTTAAGCCTGAAGATTTCACTACAAAGTTTCTGGAACATGATGTATTAGCAATGAGTCAAGCTGAGCTTGGTAATCTGTCTGGCAAAAAGCCCGTTCTTGTTACCTTATTCTTTACCCTAAATGAGTTATACACGGCATCAATTAGCAAAACGACTGCTTTCTTACTCAACATAACGTCGGTTCTTCCAAAAGGGTCCCTACTTCTAGTTGTGGATAGTCCAGGGTCATATTCAGAAACCACAGTCGGTACAGAAGAGAAGAAATATCCGATGAAGTTTTTACTTGACCATTTTTTGATTGAGACACAAAAGTCAAGGGGAAAAGAGAGCGTTCCTGACTGGGTTAAAGTCCACTCCGAGGACTCTCAGTGGTTTAGACTACCTGAAACTCTCCGATATCCAATTCCTTTGGAAAATATGCGATACCAGGTACACCTTTACCGTCGTTCATAAGCAGGGTGATTTCGATAGCAGCGATCACAATTGAGAAGATGAGTTCTGAAAGTCATAATCATAATTCATTATCCATACATAAAATCGTCAAGGTAACCACAATATGCCAACCTCATCCTGTTGGCTAATACCGACTAAACATCAAAGGTACCAATGCGGTACTACTCTCATGACCAAAAAACCCTCTGGACTTCTTTGGCGAAGAACATGAGGCCCCTAGTTGCAAAGGCTTGGGCCAGGCTGTCAATACCCATTCTTTTTTATCTTGAGTCTTGCAGAACTCTTTGCCAAGCTGCTTTAGCACAGCTTCTCTTGCCTTCTTCAAAGCCATTATCCTCTTATCAGGATCATCAATCAATTCCTGTTGAGCATCCTCCTTTTCAAAGTTACGCTGAACGCCTTGTATATTGGGATCAAAAGTCATTGGGTGTAATAACTCTACTGGAGGCGAAGCAATCGGTATTGGAGCCGAAATCTTTAGTTTTACCTCTTTACCAGAATCGTCTTCATCATTCTTCTCAATCTCATTTTCCTTTTGCCTATGCTTGCGTCTCCGTCTGCGATGATGCGACCTCTTTCTCTTGAGCTTTGTACCTGTTATAGATGACTCCTTCATACCAGGCAATGTTACGCCAGACAGAGTATCAATTACTTCCGGTGCCTCTTCAATATCATACAATCCACTACCACTCTGATATTGCAAACTATCAACATCAGATCCGCTCGGTTGAGACAACCATTCATCACTGCTTCGACAATTTCTCGACGTCAATGGTGCCAATGCTCGCTCCCAAGTGCCACCATTTATCAACGTGGTATTCTCAAAATCAAATTCTTTCACCGTGTGTCGATGTTCATAAACAAAATCTGCGACCTGCTGCTCCGACATCGTGGTATTCCTCACTTGCATATATCGCAATTTGGGAAATACCATTGGTGGTCTTGGAGGAGCAGCTGGTAATGGCGACATCGGGGATGTCACTTCTCCAAATAACTTGATCGTCTCTTTTGGTGGCGCGAATAATGGATCACTGAATAGAGAATATGGACAAGGACCTTTCCTTCCATGCCATCCAAAACTCACTTTCTCCAAACTCGGCGCAAAGTTCCGAATGTAATCATCCAAAATCTTCAAATGATCGCGACCAGGCAGTAAACTTTGGAAGTCCCATGAATCCATCGTGATGCTGAGCTTTCTTATTTGTCTCCATCGTCGTCCTGCAGATGGGGTACACCCAAAACCAGACATATGACGCAGGTATTGCAGTCCAGATGGATGGATGTGGATGGACAGTTTCTCCAACTTCAATACCGGCGCTCGCTCAATGGCAATGCGTAGGCTTATAAGTGCATAATCGACAATATCCCTTCTATACCTCTGCGAAGGATCTTGATCTGGACATGAGATTGTCAGATGGCGCAGGTTGGGTAGATAAGATAGCGCTTTAATGAATGTGGGGATATTGGTCGCGGCATGAAAGAGAGGTGGATATTGTTGAGTCAATATCTCGCCTAGCTCAGGACATCCATACTTGGGACGTCGATTACTAGGCCTTTCGTTGTGAGGGGCCATGCTGGTATGTGGTGTATACAGAAAGTTGATCTCCTGACCAGTGATAGGGTTCAAGAGAGGAGGAAGAAATGTAGCATTGGAGTGAGGCATGTAGAATATCAGGTGTTGAATGTATTTTCCGATCCGAGAGAGAGCTTCTAGACGGGAAGGTCGAGTGAGTGAGGTGGGAGTGAAGGTTATACGGGTTCGGATGAAGATCTCGCTGGTTATTAGGCCGCAGATTTCAGTGGATACAAGGCGGAGGGAACATTGGGAGGAGGTATCTAAGTGGGTGAGAATATTGGTGATGATATTTTGGGATCGCCAGAGGCGGTTGATTGTTGGGTTGGTGGTGGCCATAACTTGCGCATATCGCTTGGGAAAGGGATTGGAGGGAGTATGAAGTCAAGTCCTGCTTGATATTGATAAATAAATATCGTCGATGAAATTTTGAAGCGGGATACAAATAAAGAGTAAAAGATTTGAAAAGACCAATTGAGATTGAGAAGTCGAAGTGAGCTGAATATGGATTCCAAATGAATGAATAAACAAATCTCAATCGACTACTCACAACTCAACGACACAATATAATCTCACTCAATCACAAAAGACCCTCGTCCTCATCAACATCAATCGATTGAGTGTGTAACCTCAAATCGCAATTCAAATAAAACAAACACAAAAGTTACGAAAGGAAAATCAAAAAAACAACCTCAGTCCCCTCCCCTTTCTTTATAACATATACCCCATCCTCCACAAACTCCAACAATTTCCTTCCCCTCCTCCAAATCTCGAAATGCCGCACACAAAAAACCCATTCCTCGCATCGAATCTTCTCTTCCCCTTCTCTTCCCCATCCCGTCTCTCAATCGAACTACCTCTGACTCACACTTGCTCGTCCGACACACAGGGTCTCCTGCACAAGCAAGCACGTAAACACATTCTTGCACCATGATGATTTACCGAACGCCTCTCTCCCCGGGATTCCACAAAGCCACTCTACTTCATCCCAGAACACTAAACGCGAAATGCTCGCGAAAAACCACGAGGAGAGAACGCGATAGCCGCGTTGAGTGGATGGGTATGTGCATTTTCTTATGCGAGGGACTTGGTATAGACTAGGGTTTTATGTCATATCATTTCATGTAGCTGTACGATATATCGGATTGCATGGTTTGGAGCGTAGTGTGATGGATAAGAGACAGGGGGTGAGTATCCGAATATTATGTGTTTGTATGGATGGATTTTGATATGATTAGATTATCCGAACAAGGAATCAATTCGCCAGCATCAGATCTTGGCGGAGAATTGTTAACCATAAGTTTCGGGTAGGGCAGGGGGAAGAAAGAGGGGTAAGGATGTAGATACTGTACTTCGTGTATTCGAACCTATATGCAATGTGCATGTATGCATGTATGTTTCAAGAACGATAATTGGAAGCAAGAGAATAGGATACAGATAACCTTTGAGAAACCGTTTTGCAAGTTGGAAATTGGAAAGTAGGGAGTGGAAACGCGGTATTTGGTATGAGGGGGTGGAGAGAATAGATTGGTAGGTAGGTAGATGTTACTCATACAGTACTTATTTTTATTCGGTTAGTCTAGTCTACCGTTCAAAGTTCAAAGTCGAAAATCGAAAGAAACGAATGAGGAGACAAAACTTCAGAATGGGTGGTAGGTAAGATTACTGATTACTTACTGGTTACTTGCTACATACGTAATATCAATAACTATATCGACCTCACCGAACGAAAACCCAACAAGGTTAAACGAGCCGACCTGGTGGACGAGTTGCGAGCATAAAGGCGTTGAATATGTATGCCCAGGTGTACTATGTATGTACTCCGTGCTCTGTACACATCGGGATTGGGAGGACAGGCATTGGATACCAATATACCCACCCACCCGTCTTCTATACCCTTTCTTTTACCTTTAGAGTACCTTTACCTTTACCTTTATCCCCTCTCTATCTTTCTCTCTAAGCTCCCTCCCTGTATCTACCCTCCCCCGACTCAGATCAGACCAACCCAGAACAACTCAAACAAACAAACAAACATACAAACAAGCAACCACCCCCCTCAAAAAAAAAAAAAGGAAACGCGTGCAATAACCTTAACATAAACGCGAAAGCAACGCGCTTGTTTGGAAATAATTGGCTGTCATATATATTATGCCTTGATATCATATTCCATTCTATTCCGATTCTATTCCATTCCATTCCATTCCATTCCAATTCTATACCAACTCTCAATTCAATTCACCCATTCGTACAATATAGCCAGATGCTCACAATCCGTTTCCTATCCTCCAAATCTACTAGTACATTCTCCCAGAGTTCATACCAATAATAAGTACCTAGTTGACAGGCAGTAAGTATCACGACCTAATAGAATAGCTTTGAATTCCATTTTGCGATTTATCGATTCGACTTCAAGGGATTGATATATACACAAGAGTAGATACCTATTATATGCGCAAAACTACTCGCGTTTGATTTTCACTCATGTTTTCTTTGCGACACTTCTTTAACTCGCTTATCACATACATATCCATCACGCATTCACGCATTCACTCATCCATTCAAAAATTCGCGAGGCAAAAAATACGAGAGATGACATGCGATTATTTGCATCTACGTTCATTTCTCTTCGCGTCTTACTAACGTGTCAATGTGATCGCCTGCCTCCTACTATTCCACTCATCCACTTTTCAACCATTCCACCACAATCAATCTCCCTCCTATCATTTCTGAAATCCCATTCAGATCAAAATATCCAACTCCTTCTGTCCCCCACGCATTCATGAACCCCTTGAACCACTATGCCGATCCTTCACATCTTATCATCTTTCATTATTCTGCCATGCATGCCACTATTCGAACTTGCCAACTCCAGATGTTCAATCATTTTCCCCATCCATTCACTCGTCCATCCACTCTTCCATCCATCGGACTTGAAAAGTCTTCGACCGTTTCGAAAATACAAAGTTTCAGATAAGGAAAAGTAAACCCAATAAAAGAACCCCGCCAGTGAACTTTTATTATATCGTCTCGTTTCCTGGTCTTTCAGTTCGCCCAAACGCCATTATGCAATATCTTTTAATCAGTACTTTTTGTACCTGCAGCCAATAATTTCCCCTTGAAAATACAATTCTGAAGGACTTGGGTGAATAAAGAAAACTCGTGTCATTCCAATCGCGCATTAAATATTAAAATGCTTTTTTCGTGTATAATAAGCTGGGTATCCTGATGAAGCGAAAAAAAAAAGGAAAAAAAGTAAAATGCGGAAATTAAACGCGCTCTATCTGTTGTGTTGTAACGTGGTCATGTAGAAGTCAAAGGTGAGGGAGGTGAAGGAGTCCCGTTCGTTTTAATGAGGTCAGCTTCAGAATTTGATGCTGGACTGGATGTTGAAGTGGATGTATTTTTGTGTTGTTTTTTCGACGTTTGCCCCTTTTCTGGTGTGCTTTTTCGAGTTACGGAGGAGTCTTCTATCTCTTCTGGGATAGTGGCGAATTTCTTGAGAACTTGCTTGAGAGCTGGTCGTCGAATAGGTTTACTATGAAAGATTAGTCTTCCGGTTGTAATGAAAGTAAGTGGGCGGAGAACAAACCTTAGGAAATGATCCATTCCGGACTCATAGCATTCTTTGACATTACTCTCTTCAGCAAAAGCGGTTAGTGCTACAATGGGCGCAGAATAACCCATTTCTCTGATTAATCTCGTGCTTTGCAGTCCATCCAGATTTGGCATTTGAATATCCATAAAGATCAAGTTGAAGAACGTGCCCTCTTCCATGCTTTGCTTTACCTTATCGTATGCCTCCTGGCCATCCTTGGCAACTACTACATCATACACGTCTTCGAGTTTAAGCATGCGAAGAACTACCTCTTGATTGACAAGATTGTCTTCGGCAACCAGAACTCGAATTTTCTTATCCCCGACTTTCTCCTTGGCGGCGCGATCGAGCGCGGCGAGTTGAGATTTTGCATTATCCTCGTTAGGTGGAGGTGTGGGGGATGATGTAAAAAATGGCTGTCGAAGTCCCACCAATCGAGGTTGAGTATCCATTGAATAGCCTGCACCGCTATTGCCTTTTCCAGGGGACCCTACAGCAGCCGTGGCATCAATGGAACCCTGTGGAGTATGGCGTTCGAGCTCTGATTGCGAAACCATGCTTGCAGGCCGAGAACCAATAACATCAGAACTAGATGTGCTTGGTGCTCGCTCCTTGACAAATTTTAATGGTAACTGAACATTGAACGTGGAACCTTCTCCAAGTGTACTAACGAGAGAGATAGAACCTCCCATAAGGCCTGCTAACTGGGAGCAAATACTTAATCCCAACCCGGTTCCTCCATATTTCTTGTTTAAACCTAGATCAGCCTGTACGAAAGGCTCGAAGACTCGCTCCTGTAGATGCTCGGGAATACCAGGTCCGGTATCCTCAACCTCTATTGAAAACCATAAAGTCCTAGCATTGTTTGGTGGCGGAGTTGCCGATCTCTCATTTAACTGGACACGAGCTCTTGGATCCATAGGGTTGATTACTAGTGCAGTACCAGCTTGCTTGGTATTCGAAGCTGTCCTTGATATTTGACCCGATGCATGCGTTGAAGTATGCCCTGAAGCATTTGATCCAGAGCCGGTACGGGTTCTAACATTTCTCCTGTGGGAGCTCTGCTTCGATCCCATGGAATTTCGGCTAGTGACACCATCAAATTGTTGTTCCAATTCGCCCATACATCTAATTCTGACTTCTACTTTTCCTCCTGCTGGTGTGAATTTGAGGCTGTTGCTGACTAGATTGATAATGATTTGGAGAATTCTGTGTTGGTCACCCCACAAACACATATCTTTCAATCTACCGATACCATTAGGTCCTAGTGCTGGTAGAGGCTTTCCGGTCGGTTTTTCTAGTTGGGTTCCATCTGTACTTTCAGTGCCCAAGAAGTGGACTCCAAAAGTAATACCGCCTTCATCCACTTGCTTTCGGAATATGTTCTTGATCTGCTCTTTTACATCAGACAGTCGGAACTCTTTCTCTTCTAGATGCAATTGCTGGCCAATTTGGTTCTTGCTGAACGTCAAAAGATCATTCAATAAGTTTAACAAAAGGTCACCAGATTTGTAAACCGTCTTCAATGAGCGTTTGATGCTTGGCAAATCATCCTCGCCCATGCATACGGCGCACATTCCCAGAATCCCGTTCAATGGAGTTTTCAATTCATGCGATATGTTTGCAATGAATAATGTTTTACTCTCATTTGCTGCCTCCGCTGCCTTTTTAGAATGCTCAAGTTGTTCCGTACGTTCGGCAACTTTGGATTCGAGACTCGTGTATTGCAGGAGCAATTCGTCGCTCATTTCATTGAATTTCGAAGTTAAATCCGTAAGCTCGTCTTCAATCCAATGTCTTCGATCAGGTACCTTTCCAGGGATTTTAAAATCTCTTCGCCTATCGGCCTCTGATTTTTCTGCTTTTGACACACGACGCCCTGAATGTGTCAGTTTTCTCAGCCGGACCAAAAATCCCGTTTTCTTGTACCCGCTTGAATCGCCCTCGCCGACTTCTTCATCGCCATATAAGTCGTCGTCTATACTTTGACGCGGAGTGTAACCCGGTGGCTGAACGGATTGTTTTGTGGCATCTCTTAGTCTTCTGATTGGTCGAACACTGAAATGAGCCATCGGTATAACCTTGTCGTTGTTAGCAATTTTGAATGGACAAAGTACATTCAATTCGCCGAGACAAAAATAAAGAGGCATTGAATATGTGCTCAATGGTCCGAACTAGCAGACTAGATGCAAGGTTTACAGTTCCAATTGAATCCAAAATTGAACAGCCTTTCAATACCGGATTGAAGCCCGGACTGTCTTTTGGAAACCACAGCGAGAGAAGAAACATTATAAAAAACTTACCACAATAAGGATCAATCCAAATGTACCAAAAACACATGCAAGTAAGATATTCCTAAGCTTGATAATGGGTTCCCAAGCTTCAGAATGAGCTTGTTCGACTATCAAAAGCCAATCAACCAGTGCACTTTGTGGTCTTGCCCACCCTACCGACACCTTTACTCCTTGCTCGTTTGTGGTTGTGATATAACTACTGGCATTATTGACTTTCGGATTCTGTCGTCCAAACCCATCTAGAATAGCCGGATATTGGCCTTCGCTAAAATTCGAGCTTCCATATTGAGTTAAATTTGCATTGTAGTCGGAATGCCTATCAGTTTGTCCGTCAAGAGGATATGGAGGGAAAACGTATTTGACACTTGCTTTTGTCAAATTATGGAGGTCGGGTTCATAAGTTGCTGTAGCCGGTCTCGACATGTACGAGAACTGGTTCTCTCGTCGATTGGTTCCCACGACCAACACTATTCCTGTATTATCCAAGCCCTCCCGAGAATAAATAACGTCGATTAGCGAAGTTGCAGCTGCTACCACGGTCATATAACCTAGAACGTAATCGGGATTTGAATTCTCGACAATCGGCAAGGTCAGTGACACTAAAGCATAGGTGCTATTAATCTGTAAAGGCCCGAGTAGAAGAGCAGCACTTTTATTCAGTGGGTAATCGGCAAATGCATATACCTGTGTAAAATTCGTTCCTGGAGCATTTGGGTCGGGATCTGTGGTTGGGATATAAGAGATATTGGGATACAAAGCCGCTGGATATCCCTGATCAGCATCGCCTAGAAAGGCAGGCTGATTTAATGAGTTATTATAGGGAAGTTGTATATCTGCAACACCTCCAAGCGATTAGTATGAATTATATCTGTGAGAGAAGATGACCTACCGGATGCATTGGCTGTGACATTCAATATCCCACTGACCGAACCTGTCTGATTCCGCGAAAATATGATTACTTGAAGCAGTGCAGATAGACCACCAGAAGCCAAAGCGCTTTGTACATCTTCTCTTGCTTCATTCCACTCGGGAACTCCACTATAAAAGTCGCGAATGGCCTCCTGGATAAGGATCCTAGTGACGATGGTCGAACATGTGGCCTGAATTAGGAGTAAATCGGAAGCCACTGAAGCGGCTTTGAGTGATGCAGTAAGACTAAGGGCATTTTCTTTAACGTCGACTGTAAAACTATAATTGTTGAACCAAGTCGCGAGAGCCAGCACAATCAATGGAACAAGAGCAGCCACCAGGACAACCAGGCCAAGTTGTAGCCTGATACCAATCCTCATCTCCAGACCGTTATATGTTTGGTCGTCGACGATGGGTCTGGGAAACAGCCTTGTTGATTCAAGCCAAATCCGGCCTCGCAATCGAACGATTCGCTACACCTGGGCACTCGCAAACAATTCCCTCGATAGTGTAGATTTCGACTTGTACAATTTCAATTTGGTTTCTTTGCGACGTTTCGAATTCATCAGGAGTATTGTATTATCCAAGGAAGTCGTCGAATTATTTTCCGAAGGTTGCCGCGCAAGCCTAGTAGCTTGAGCTCTTCCTTCAAGAACTCCAAGAACTGGTCCACCCCGCGTTGGTGCTCAAGTTGTTGATTGTTGGGTCAATGTATGCGTCGCATATTCAAAACATATGCATCATTATGTCAAGGATCGGTTTTGAAGAGAGTTCGAGAAGGAAAGGTGGTGGTCGATTGATGGTCAGATTTACAAAAGATGGTGGTGGTAGTGGTAGTGGTGGTGGTGGTGGTAGTGGTGAGCGATTACCAAAAAGCTATCACGAAAGAAAAGATGTGATGTGATGAGAGGTGAGAAGTCGAAAGTCAGAAGTTCGAAGTCAGAAGTCAGAAGTCCAAAGTCCAAAGTGAGAAGTGCCCAGTGTGGATTGGAGATTAAAGATTGGAGGATTAAAGAAAGAGAATTGCTTCTAGAGTTTGCAAGTGAACAACTTTCGACCAGGATTATTTATGATTTGGTACTCCCCGAACCCCACAAATAGAAAGACGAAAGTTAAATAAACGATTGAGATGCTGGTGATCGAGATGGAAGGGATTATGATTACTAAGGATTTATTATGGAAATAGATATGAACAGATAGATATAAATATGAAGATGGATATAAATCTAAATATAAAAACGTTATAGAAGAGTTCTTCGCAGATACTTTTACGGATAAGCAATCAGACTCTAGATTGTTTAGACTATAGAATAAATGAATGTAAATACACGTACAGATTACAGATTACATATTACATACATTATTTATATACGTAAACATAAACATACATTATCACACACCCACGGCTAAAATTCATAATTATGAGTCTAGACCTACTAGGTATCAATATTTCAATCTAATATATCCATACTAGGGAGGCACGGGAGGATCGAATTGACAAGTATAAACGGTTCATTGTGGCACTGTCCGTCCGTCTTTCGTCTTGATAGGTAGGTAGGTATGCAGTAGTAGACAGGCGAGACAGGTATCTAATACTTAGTCACTTGGTATATTATCCAAGGTATGTATCAATCATCACCGCCGTTAAGACATTGTAGAAATTACCATGACAAGGGGCATTAGCCATTCCAAGGTTGGCATAGACATTCATGGATAGACACACTTCTTCGATCGGAATCGCTCCCCAGAAACCTAATTATCTATCAAGACAAAAACATTCATCAAATTCCACAGTATTACGAATCGTAGCCAACGACCTATCTTGAAGCTACCTCCCTGGTATCTACTACATCGTACCACCAGTACATATCACTCTTTCGACAACACATCGCACCAACAATCTCCTATCAATACCGAGTACAAGCACTGTACACACACAGAGAGAGAGACAACACCCCACCACCACCACACCATCAGCCACACCCTCCAAGCAAAAGGAAAAAAACCCGCGCTCCCAGTCCAACACCAGCGTGGTAAGTTGTACCGGAGCCTCCAGAACCCTCCTCATTGGTCCCATGATGAAAACCATCTCAATCAAAGACAAAAACGGTTCTTTCATCCGCGACTATGCCATATCTGGTAACATCCCCATCAACTAATCAACTGATGTATGGAAAGAAACATCCAGACATCCAATCCATCCTCCTTGCTTACGGAGCGGAGAGAATACTTCTCATAATCCGAATGGGTTTTCGTCTTTTTCGCCTCCTTCCCCTTGGTCTTTATGAAGCACAAGATGTAGGTACATGTGTAATGTTTTTATGTTTTTCGTATCGTATCTTGTACAACTAAGGTTAGGTAGGTAGGTATGTAACTTTTAGGTGCGATGGAAATAGGTATCTACCTAGGTAGTCAAAGATAGTTATGTATCTACTGCATCAAAAATCCAGTTTCACATGGTGATCCCCAATCATGTGATGTCAAATCTCAAAAATAACAAGATCCCGAGACCGAGATCATCTCGAGTGAACGGACCGAAAAGATACTTTCCTTTTCGTTTGCGAATCATGGGGTAGGGTCCCTAACCTTACATGAATAGGTAGAGTGAGTGCAGTGCGCCCATACCTAGGTAATTTCCAGGACCCGAGGATAATAATTCTCGGATCTCAGATTAGATGTCTAAAATATAAAATATAAAATATAAACTATAAACTATAAACTATAAAAAGTATTCGTAGAATAAATCAGATCTATATATTAAAACTCATTATTTAAATTGGAATATACATACCTACATTTATATATATTCAATATATAACTATATCTATCTATCTATCTAAATGTATATAATATAGTAAAACCCTAACCGAATTCTCTACATCTCAAGCCTATTCATTCATCTACCTAGGTATCTATCTATCTAATCAATCTCCCCCTCAAAATCACTTACTAATAGATAGTCTTAATCTTCAATCTTCAATCTCTAACTGTGACACTTTGCCTTAGAAGAACTGCGAGAGCAGGGTACAATTTATCCTTAGAATCTACAACTACAGAATCGGGAGCAAAGCGCTCGTAGAGCGCTCCTATATACTAGCTATGTACACGTGATTGTGCACGTGCGCACGCGCGCACGTGAGCGATCGCAACTGCGATTGGGTGCGATCCGTGACAATGGATGTTTTTACCTAGGGATTGGAGATGTCAATCGAACCTTCCTTTATTTTTAACACACTTTGATTTACATTACATTCACAAAATATCAACGAAATGATTGCAATCAAAAAAGAATTCGAAACTTTCAACAGAAGGAGAAATTTTCTTGAACTGCTGGGATTTATTCTGTATCAACACTTTTTCTCATATCTAATATCTCCAAAAACGACGTATACTATACCTTCATGGTATGCTGATCATGCGCAAGCAGTCGCATGGATAGAGCGATTCTTAATTATGGAATCACGCACAACAAGGGAAGATGCGAGATCTAAAGCCACGCAATTTGCTGGGGCGGGAAGATTATTGTATGCAAAATCTTTGAACTCCTGGACACGATCTCTTGGAGATGAGGACATGGCAATCGATATCTATTACGCACTGCAGTCAATCATGCTGGATCCCAAAAAGCGAGAGAAGGCTGATATTCCGGTGAGTTATGATACAAGCTGATATTGAAATCAGCTTATACTTACTATGATATATAGGAACTCATAAGTATACGAATCACAGAGGACCGTGTAATTTTACTACATTCCCAGGTTCAAAGGCTATTATCTATGATCCCAAAGGAGCTCAGCTTATTCCAAAAATTTCACCTAATACTGCTACTCTCATTGATCATCGCTATTCCGTTAACAATCGACATCTTTTCAAATAAATATTATTATACAGGAACTGGTACATTCTCAATCCTCTGGTTTTTTACTATACCAACAACCCTTACGATTGTACTTATATGTGCATGGAAAACTCTCGACTACCCAATAACAACGCTCTGAAGATATACCAAGGCGCTTTGATGATCGTGGAGCAATTCTGCACAGCACGTTGTTGGAATTGGAAGTGGAAGTCATGAGATGAGACAAAAATGATTAAGGGGCTGGTGAGGGATAGATGCTGGTATTGCATAGAGATACTGGGTTCATGTTGGCTTCTCATTGCTAGGTATGGGCATAGACACTTAAATGCTAAGACGAGATTAGGCGTTAAGACTTCTATGAGTCAAAGGGGAGGGAGTGGTTATATTGCGCTGCTTTTGTGAGTAGCAATGAAGAAATGTTTTGCGGGTTCTGGGTTAAGGGGGCATACTATTTTTATTTTTATTTTTTTTTATGAAAAGGGGCGTGGGGATTGTAATTTTACACCTACAATGAGTGATAAATTTCCATACGATTTACTTTTCAGATGGGAAAAGAGATAATCTGGATTGGTTGGAACATATAAATGAAATCCAAACACCCACAGAAAAGTAACTACATATGCACACAATTTCGCACTTCCAAAATCCCACATCTCGCTTCCAAGTTCCTCGCTTGCAAATTCCTTCTCCTCACAACCCATGATCCACAATCTGCTTCTCAACACCCCTCTCCACCACCCCCGGCCCCGCCATCTCCATCTCAAACTCCAGATCCGGTTGTATCTCCGCATACAACGCATTCTTCTCACTCGCCATCTTGAAATTATACGCTGCCTCCTCATCCTCAATCACATGCACTCCTTTCTTCAGCTCTCCATTCGCATCGCGGGTTCCTCCCACCGCCGCTTCGACTTTCAATTGGATTTCGCATCCGCGGTCTAAGAGCGCGAAGAGGAATCCCGCTTCGTCGACGGTGGATCCGGTGCTTAATAAGCCGTGGTTGAGGAGGATGGCTACTTTGTTGTAGGGACCGAGGGCACGCGCAATGTTGGCGCCTTCTTCAGAGGCAAAGACGATGCCGCCGTAGGAGGCGTAGACAGCGATGCTGTTGTGGAGGTTGCAGATGTCTTGGTTGAGCATATCGAGGGGTCGACCGAAGACGGACCTGGGTATTGTTAAGACTTGTATGTGGTAAAGTTCTGAACAAGAGACTCACCATGCTCGACCAGCATTTGTGTGTGCATGACAAATAGCATGTACGTCAGGACGTGCTTTGTGAATTGCAGAGTGGATCAAAAACCCAGCGGCATTGGCAGGACGAGACTGTGATTGAGTTAATGACAACATCTTCCATATTCATATTCACGGTTTGCGAAAGGAAACTCGTACTCGATTTCCTCCTACAACTTTTCCACTGTCTAAATCTAAACACATCATATCACCAGCAGTCATCAGACCGAAATGTCGACCGAGGGGATTCATCCAGATGTAGTTCTCAAACTCTGGGTCTCGGACAGAGATATGTCCTGCCATTCCTTCGGTGAAACCACGACGTGAAAAGTCTCGGAAGACGGCCGCCATGTGGATGAGAATGTGGCGACGATGAGCAGCATGATTCGGAAAGGTTGGAATACCTAGAAATATTGTCAATGAATGAGCGAGTGAGGTTGAAGAAGAAAAAGAAAGTAAAGATTTTGTAAGTGAAGATGGACATATATGATTATCTTCGTGTATTCCTTCCGCATACTCAAGCCCAGATAGAAACTAACCATCCAACAGAATGATGATATCTTGCAATTGCAAGCCAGTATCACTCAGTAACTCCCATACCTTCTACCACCTTCATCACCTAACTTCACAATCCTCCAAAACTCATCTCCACAATACAAGACACTCAACTTCAGCACCCACTACTCCCACTTTCCCATGAAACCCCCCAGACACAAGGAAAATCCATCATAACTCACCAGACATAACCACACCCCCATGACTAATCGCCTCCAACGGAGTTAAATCCTCTCCACCATGAACATGTTCGACTTTCTCATCTTTTACGACTGAAATGCTCTCCTCCCCTGTTTTCTTCTGAATAGGAAGATGTGATTCAGTCGCCGAGGGTGCCATAATTTCCAGCGTATTATTCTTCGTTTTATCTTATCAGGAGATAATCTTAAGGTAGCATATGATAAACAAATGATCAATCTTCGTAGTAAAGATATAGCACTCTTCAAATCTCAATCTCAATCGCAATTTCAGATTTCAGATGTTGAATATCAAGCCGATCACGGAGTTCCTGGATATATCAATATATATACCTAGTACTCTTCCACACACGCCAGCCAATTCAAGCTTGAAATATCGTAGAGGTACAGTAAATACCAGACCAATGTGGATGTAGATAGCGAAATGGTGGATCGACCTGTTGCAAACATATTACCTAAAGGAAGGATACTATCTCAGCTATCGAGGTGTGCGACGATAGTGGGATGACGCGAGATAAGACGATGATAGCAGTGGTGCTGAAACTTTTGATAAGAATCATGTGTGTAATGGAAGGTAATGTGATTGATTGAGAAGATAAAATAGTGCTTCCGTAGTTATCCCAAGACGCGGTGCTTAGATATCGCTCGTTTGATAGAGGTGGATGTGAGACTATTGTGGGCTCGGTGGGGTTGCTAATTGCGGGGTAAAGGTGGTGATGTGTGAGAGGAGGTGTTGATGTGAAAATGGGGTGAAACTTCTTTGTTTGTTTCTTGTCAAGATTGATTTTATTGTATTTCAACTGAACTCTATTATTCCTAATTTGACTGGTTCATAACCTTACTCATATAAATATACTCATCTAAATGGCCTCGAGAACTTTCAGCACCCCACCTCGCATCATAAAGAGTATAGAAATAGATTCTACATTCCACTTTGATCATAGCCAGAATCACAGTCACTCAAACACAGTAAATATTTTGAGGTGTCGGTATTGAATTAGGTAAAGTCGCCTATATCTAATCCCCCTATAATCCTCAACCGTTGCGCCCCTTCCCTCCCTATACCCATACCCAAACGCCCCAGTCTCCCATCAACACCACCTACCACCCAACCCCAAGATCCCAATGCCCCTTTTACCAACCATAACGCCTATCCCTTTACCCTCAAGTGAAACCCCCATAATCCCCCTAACCCCAAACCAAGTATTATACATTGAATATTATACAATAAACAGCAATGGGATTCACGAGATAATACTCGTTTCTCTCACTCCCCATCCCCGAGAGAATCCTATCGCTGTCCAGCCTACAAGTGATATCCCAACGCCATCCCACCACGCCCCCGACTTACCCCTCTCTAATCTATAGTTGCTACAGAGTATTATAACCGAGTATGATGAGTGACATACAGACATATCACCACCAACACTCAATACTCTGAGGCATGTACAGGTCCCAATCTTTACCCCTGCAAGTATCATACCCCTATGATACCGGATTCCGGGGATTAGTCAATTGGACGAGAGAGTGCGACATACCCGACCGAGCATATGCTCTTCGAATACAACCCCTGAACACCTCTTCCAGAACGCCTCTGCCGGAACACCTTTGCCGAAACGCCATTGATAAAGCAGTCGATAATGATGTTGAATGTGCGTGCCATTGATGCCGTCGAAAATTGACCAGAGACATCTTTCCACAAGTCATCAGCTTATCTCTCTCAACCCATTGCCCTACGAGTACCAGACATGGCAAAATCCATGACAATCAATGATACTCGTATTATGAAGAATGGATCCAAACGAGAGAGTGCGACATGTATATGTAATACATGTAACCCGTACGAGACCCCTGTATAGAAACGCCACCAAAAACATCTTTCCACAAACCGCCAGACAGAAAAAAACCAGAACCCCATACCAAGACGCCCCATCCAAAACGCCCCTCCCCCATATCCGACTTACCTCTCTCTAATCCGCGCGATTTGCAGATCCTAACCCATTACCCCTGCAAGCATCATGCATGACACATTAACATGTCAGTTACGATACCCATATTCCGGGGATTAGTTGATCAGACGAGAGAGTGCGGAGTGTTGATTTCACTTGAACACCTACACTCAAAACCCCCAATAGCCACCCCTGAGATTAGCATTTCACAATCCAAACACTTCATGTCCGAACACAAAGATTTTTTTAAATGGTTTTTATTGATAAACATCCCCTTTTTTTGTGATTTTCTTCATCTATTTTCCACTTGTTTTTGGTATGGGTCCCCCTGAAACGGTTGCCCATGCATACTTTTTATGTTTTTTGCCTCTGCTTTTTTGGTTTTGTTTTTCGATTTTTTCCTTTTCGATCCCCATGGACGTACTTTCTTTTCCTCTCGGCGTTGATATATTTTTTATAATTGATTTTTATCGTTTTTCCCCATTTTTTCCCGTTTTCGATCCCATGACGGACGTACTTTCTTCCCATTGATAATTATATCTCGAACCGTGACGCCCCCAATACTCAAGCCCCGTGGCGAGTGTCCCCCAAAACTCCAATGTCGTTTCTCGAAGTGATCTGATCGTGTCATGAGACACTCGCATCGAGGCAAATCGATACTCGCGGATCTCTCCAAAATTCTGAACATATAGCAACGGCATTTCTCAAAGTGGTCTGATCGTGTCATGAGACACTCGCATCGATTTGCCTCGATACTCGCGGACCACTTCAAAAATCTGAACATATAGTGCCACGGATTCCATAGTCCATCGCTCACGATGATCAGATTTTTGACAAGAGAAATGCCTCCCAAAACCCAAGTCCACTTTTGAACTTTTGTATACCTCAAATCACTGCCGTATCGCTAATATTATTAGCGAGAAACAGCAGGATACCCGGAACGCCCCGCCCACCCCCCAAAAAACCCAGATTTAATTAGCAACCCAATATTAGATTATAATAACGTTTGTATCCCCCATCCTTTCCCCGAAACTCCAGTGAAATATCAAACCCCCAGACTCCTCACCCCTGTCTCAACCATGATGATTAGAGACAGCCCTCCCGCAATGTGAACATTGTTGCGAGAAGGTTGGGAAGGTATTACTTACAAGGCCATGGCGATGGCAGCAACGGCAGCGAGAGCTGCAGCAGCGCTGACACCGTTGAGCGAAGCAGCACCTTGGAAGGTGACTGGACCGCTAGTGTTGGGGCCATTGGATGAGGTTGTACCTGATCCAGCTTGACCGGCTCCAGCTTGACCAGCTCCGGTTTGACCAGCTCCAGCTTGACCAGCTCCGGTTTGACCAGCTCCAGCTTGACCGGCAGAACCAGCTTGACCTGCTCCAGATTGACCAGCTCCAGATTGACCGGCAGAACCAGCTTGACCAGCTCCAGATTGACCAGCTCCAGATTGACCAGCTCCAGCTTGACCTGCAGAACCAGCTTGACCGGCTTGACCTGCCTGACCAGCGGAACCAGCGGAACCAGCTTGACCTGCAGAACCAGCTTGACCAGCGGAACCAGCTTGACCGGCAGAACCAGCTTGACCAGCTTGACCAGCTTGACCAGCGGAACCAGCTTGACCAGCTTGACCGACTTGAGTCTGACCAGCGGAACCAGCCGTAGCAACAACGGTTCCATTGGAGACACGAGCTGAGGTAAGTACAACAGCTGGGACAGTAGCGGCAGTGATAGTTCCGTTTCTGAAAATAGGGACAACGGAGACGACACCTGGAACTACAGAGGAAGCAGGTGCTGTTGTGATTTTGGCAATAGTAGTTTGAACAGTTGAGGAAACAGCGACTGTTGTGGTCTTGAGAGTTGAAGAAACAGGGACTGGTGTGGTCTTGACAGTTGAGGAAACATGGACTGCTGTGGTATTGGCAGTTGAGTAAGCGGGGCCAGTTGTCTTAGAGATGACTGGTCCAACTGGGGTCACAGTAGGTGGTGTGTCAACCTTGTTGATGATGGTGCAGCCAGTTGGGCAAGCAGTGATGGTGACCCATCCTGGTTTTGTTACAGTAACGACAGAGTTCTGGTGAGTGATGGTGGTAGGTGCAGGCAAATAGGTGGCGTAGGCGTTAACGATTTGAGTAATGTATGAAGCATTACCTTGGTTGACGAGGACGTTACCACCGTTGTTGGTGTTACCTGAGGAGGTTAGATTATTCACTATTTGATAGACCCTTTTGGGGGAAACTTTGACGACATACCTTGAAGGATAGCAATGTTGCTATCAGCGCCTGCAGCAGCACCGGCGCCGTTGCCGTTAGCACCTGCAGCACCTTGAGCTACGATGTTACCTTGGCCACTGACTTGACCATTAACTTGGCCATTCTGGGAGTTTTGTGCGGTAGCAACTCCACAGAATGCGAGGATAGCAGCTGCCTGGGATAAGTTGAGCTTCATCGTGACTGAGTGTGTTTTGCGAAGGAAAGGGGGTGTTGTAAAGGGAAGTATGTATTGTGAAGAGAAGGGAGTGTTGTGAATTAGAAACGATTGACTGCCAGAATAAGCAGAAATACTTCAAACTTTTGAAGGGAGAATCGATATTTAAGTAAATTCATCACACCATAAAGTTTAGCGTCTTAAGCCAGCGTCATAGTGATGATACCATATTCCAGCAATGGCGACATGAACACTAACAGACACTATTGATAAGAACTACTGGTAGCTCATGGACTATACGCCAGGTAACAATGGCTATTGAAGCTCGACCAAAGTGCAGTCTTACCAGAGCAGATCAGAGACGTACGATATCAAGTGAAAATGTAATTGGTCATGATCGTGCGACGATCAGAGCCTGGTCTGGAGAAATCTAGGAAGTGACGTGCACTCGGGTGAAGCTTGCGGTAATGGACAGGAGTTGTCAAAGTCGATCGCTCTAAATCATCAATCAATCTGGTTTCTTGACATTCGAAATGATTGTATGGACCAATGGTGCCGAGCGGGATCCGGTTGATCTTGGATGTCAATACTTTAGAGTGTGGGGAGAGGAATTTAGAGGAATATCAATGTAAAGCTAGGTAAGTGCATCGAGTGCTTAGGGGTAAAAACTCTTCAAAAAACCCACTTGGTTCTTGAGCCAATTCTCACAATCAAGCGTCATGGGTAAGTGGAGTTTCACTAGTGATTGCCATTCTCAAAACCCAGAAACTGGCATGCCATTTGATGAATGCCATACAAGGTTATGGCTCCATTCCAGCACCGCGGATTCTGTCTTGGAAGATTCATCTTCAATTCAAATTTTGGTTGTAGAAAACATTTTCTCCACTATGAATTTGTTCCACTTGGCGATATAGATTCTGGTTAGACTCCCAAAAGAGCGAATGGTTGATAATGGATAATTAACTGTGAGATGCAAAACATGATCCCAAGGATACCGGAGTCATGTCCGGTGTGTATTCGAGAATACCCAAGAATATGATGGATCCCCAGGTTAGACCATTCTCATCGGAAACTCACGGGATGCATTTTCAACAACTGGCATCTTTGAATTAGTTCGTTCAAAAAGAAAGAGGTTGGAGAGAAGTTGATGATATTCCCGACAAGATTGAGTTAGGGTGGAATATTCATTAGCGTTCTCGGTAGTTCATGGGACTCAAGCTATTAACCGCCTAAAGTTTCCTTCCTGACTTAGCCATCGGAAACAAATGAGGTTAGCATCAGTTCAACAGATACCCGTTCCTGACCTGATGAAAGTATATACAATGCGTGTGAATATTGATAAACCTTACTGACGTAAAGCTTATGAGTGAGGAAAGTAAAACTAGCAAGTTCCTCATGAGTAGTGGGCATTGTCGGCACGGCAATATCTTGAAAGATGTTTTGAATCCTCAATTCAAACGTAATTGACTAAAGCCAGTACTAACTAGTATTGTCTCGACAACCACGGCCATGATAACGGTATCAGATCATCAGTAGATCCAGATTCGACAATCAGAACTGGCTGGTCAGTGGTCACCATGACTTAAAGTTTGATTGAGGGATTTAGTGTTAAAACCCCCAGAGACTAGGAGGATGTCTGTGGGTTTGGTGAACGCATTAAAGTTTTCTCTTGCAACGGTTTCCTTTCTGGGAAAACTTGAATTATTAGTCGTTCACCTTCTTGGCTTACATAGTACTTATCAAAGTTCATGACAAACTCTCGTATACTCATGCTTTCGATTGGTTCAGAGAGGAACGTCATGGAAACCACGTGTATCAAGAGTCAAGCAATGCCTTGATCATTCCAAAGATTTCGCTTCCTGTACGGAGTAAAGTCCAACGGGGGACCGGCAGAATTACATACTACTACTACTAAGTAAGTATTCAGGCAAGAAGGGTATTGAACTTTGATTCCGGGTCTTCCGTAAGGGAAATGTATCCGACAAAAATACCGAATTTGAACAACTTCAAAGTTTCGATTTTGGAAGAAAAATAAAAAAGCCATTGAATTTTACCAAGTTCACCAATACCAATAGGACATGTTGTGGAAAACACCGTCCCCGTTATTAAATGCCAATGGCTCATCAGGGCAAGTCTCCTTGTCAAAAATCAATAGGTTTTCTAAAGGAAAAAGAGCGTCACCTTTACCAAATGACTGCTCGTCAAGGGAAAATACATTCACGAAAGGAAAAAGGAGAAGAAGATAAAAAGATCAAATCCGTATTAGAACAATTTTTAGAAAGATAGCCAAGAATTGTAAATGTACCTAAACTCCATCCCTATTTCTAGATACAGTTCACCGGGTCCGGATTCTTTTGTGTTAACCAGTGTATTCTCATCATTATCTGAAATGAAAAAAAAAGTGAAGCCTCAAGATATTGTACAAACAAACGCCTAATTGGATGCAATCATGTACTTCGACGTACTTTCAAATATCATTTCGTATCATCTGTAACTGTCCTCTGGCGCTGAGAATAGACCAACTCTAGTTCGGTGGCTCTGAGAAAAGCATATCAATATAATGTTTCAACATTCAATATCTCCAATATGAGAATTTGAAGAGGGAAATTTTGGTTGAGAAAAACTTACGTAAGGCAATTTTGGTATCACAACTCCGAGAACGGCGAGAAAGTTGATGATAAAGTAAGTGAGGTCGTAATGGGTATAATGAGTACTAATTAGGAACAAAACGATTGGTACACTCATGAGAAACTTCTTTGCAGGCGTGTATTGAGCTCCATTATCAATTTGTTCCCACATGTTCAAATTGTCGTAGGCTCCAGCGTTGAACTCAAATGGTACACCACGGACCCAATGAAACATGAGAAAAGAACCAAACATATATGATATATTTGTTAATGTCCAAGATGTCTCTTGGGAAACACCAGGAATTATATCAAAAAGAATCTTGAGGCATGCGATTAAAACCAGATGTATGGTCCAGGCACCTATTGAACGAAGTAATTAGCATTGAGAACTCAATATACTTCATATCCCACGTAGAAATTATGCCAAAAAACATGCTCCAATTGCTACATCGCACACAATCGAATCCAGGAATTTCTGACCTTTTGCGTTCACCCAGTTGGCATTAAGATTGGGTAATGCCGCTTGATCACTCATGTGCTCAATTGTCTCCGGTGGCTCCTGATATAGCAAACTGCTCGACCGCCTCCTTCGTCCAACCTTTTGCTCACTCATTGTTCGATATGGGCCACTTGGACGAGGTGGATTTGAACTCGCGTCGTACGAGACTGTGCGAGGGAGGAGGAGTGGGGAAGACAGCTTGGCGGTGGTTGCGGAAGGAATTTTGAAGGTTAAGAAACGCCTCCGAGAGAGCGTCTTGTCGTAATGTTAAGATTTATATTCGAATTTGGAGAAGGGATATGAAAGATCTGATGGCGGCTGTCGAAGGGTTCTAGCTATAGTTACAACGTCAGCGATGAGCTCATTGGATGTTTCATGTAATTCAGTGCAGTAAGCAAAGTGAGAAATGCGGATCTCGGAAAGCATTGAGATATCGACCCAGGTACCGACCTAGGTATGCATGTGCATGAATTTGGAGAGAGTTAGGGGCTTACTTCTGAGTACCTAATTGCGAGGCAGTTTAAATGTTGATGAAACGAGAGACTGTAGATAGAAGGAAACGAGAATGATTGAGATCCGATTCGAATTGAACTTGCCAATAATCAGAAGGTCTCAACAGAACTGTAGAGGGAAGCTGGAGCTTGTGAAAGTGTAGGGGACCTCAAGCTTGAGGCGGGAGGCGTAACGAGGGAGGAGAAGGATAAATGAAGATGGAAAACGAGTCCACAGAGACGACGACTTAAGTTGCTGTATAGAATGTAAGATGTAGAGATATGTGGTGGATGATGAGGATTGGGGGGGCGAATGGGGGGGGGGGTTTGGTGATATTCTTATATGGTGTTGTTGTTCTGTTTTTAGTCGTCCTTCGGTCTTGGTGTTCTTGGGGAGATGGAGATGGGGATGGGGTTAATGCTCGGAAGTCTGATCGGACTAACTTTTCCGTGATAGTAGAGTAGCTCGAGTAGGCAGAATGAAGGTAATATAAGGGTAAGTCGATACCTGGGCAGGCACAGTACGAGAGTACCTAGGTAGGTATTCAAAGTATATTTTGCTCGAGCGGGATGTTTCTTTAATAATCCTTGGGTAGAGACTGGACTGGAGGACGGAGGACTAGGTAGGTATGATTTACCTAGTAGTGTAGTATCCAGATAATGTATGTGTATGTATATGTAGGTAGGTAGGTAATATGAATAATATAGGTAATATAATATAAATATAAATCATAAGGCCAAAAATAAAATTCGATCCAAGGCAAAAATGAATCGAGAATCTCTTTGGAATGTTCTTTTAAAAAGGAGCCAATAGCAAGGGTCAATCTTCAGGGATTATTTCCATTTATAGTTAGTTTCACCGAAATGAACAATACATCCACCCTTCGACCAATCAAACCTCCGCACCGAGACCGATAATAATTTCCCGAAATAATTATTTTCGTGATATCAGAAACTCGCATTATTAAATTTTGAGACAACTTCTATTTACACAGTCCCGACAGAGTGAGCTACCCAAGTATCGCATGTTTGCGACGATACTATACAACCAATAATTCACCGATATATGAGGACTTCGAGGAGATAATCTTTCTTCCGATTATATGGGAAAGCTATTCAATCCTCAAGAATTCTCTTGGTCATTTGAATCTGTTCTTCATGTTGCACAAAGATAATTGAATATCTCTCAGCAGCTTTCACTAATTCTTCTAGGACCCCGCTCGCAAAAGAGTACTACCAACAGTACAACCCTCGCGCCTTTTGCCCATACCCATACCTATACCTCTACTCATACGCATTCGCACATTCGAATCAACCTGTGGATGTCGCGTCCTCTCGCTTTGATTTCTGTTTTGATTTTGATCTACCAGGGGAGCATCATCAAACATGGATTCACCAGCAGAA